ATGTAATGTATGGGGATTAACATAAGAATAAAAATAAATAAAAAAATAAAAAAAAAAAAAAAAAAAAAAAAAAAAAACGCCCCCCCAAAAAAAAAAGAATCACCTGTGGAGTCTTGAAAACTTTTTTTTAAAGATTTTATTTATTTTATCTTAGAGAAAGGGGGTGGGGGAGGGGCAGAGGTCTCAAGCAGATTCTCAGCTGAGCATGGAGCCAGAAGCAGGACTCAATCCCACAACCCTGAGATGGTGATCTGAGCTGAAACCAAGAGTCAGAGGCTTAACAGACTGAGCCGCCCAGGCGCCCCATGAGTCTTGAAAACTCTTGAACCCAGACTACAACCAAGTTAAATAGAATCTCTGGGGTGAGCCTCTAACATGAGTAGATTTTAAATCTCCCCAGATAGGGACACCTTAGTGGCTCAGTCCATTAAGCGTCTGCCTTCGGCTTAGGTCATGATCCCAGGGTCCTGAGAGAAAGTCCTGCATTGGGCTCCTTGCTCAGCAGGGAGCCTGCTTCTCCATCTCCCTCTACTGCTCCCCCTGCTCATGCGCACTCTCTCTCTGACAAATAAATAAATAAAATCTTTAAAAAAAAAAAAAAGAAGCTTTAATCTTCCCAGATAATTCCAATATAAAACCAGCACTGTAGTCCAGTGGTTCTCAAATTTGAGCAGATGTCAGAATCATCTGGTGAGCTTCTTAAAACACATCCCTTGGCCACCCTGGGTTTCTCAGTAGGTTCGCTGTAGACTGAGGATCTGTAGTTCTAGCAGATTCCCGGGTGATGCTGATATTGCTGATATCCCGAGATCACACTTTAAGAACTGTTGCCTTAGTCTTTTCCCCCCTTCTTTTCCACCTACACCATTTCAGTTTGTTTTCAAGGTCCAGGTGAAATCTCCTTGTGTATGAAAATGTTACAAAGTTATTCTAGTCACACTGATTTCTGTTACACCTTTTATGTAGTAATTAATTACCTACTGCCTATGGCATCTCCTGAACCGCCTTTATTTATTTATATTTTTTAATGTTCACGTGTTTGTCTCGTCACCCCCACTATACTGTGCATCCTGTGTGCTGGAGAGAGAGATCCACGTTTTCCTGTGTTGCTTCACATTCACTCTGCTCCCGGCTTGGTGCCGTAGACATGGCAGAGACTCACTAACTGGATGGATGGATGGATGGATGGATGGATGGATGGATGGATGGTTGCAGTAGATTAATTGTGGATTAATTTCCTGACAGTTTCCTTTTTTCTGTTTCATGTTTATCAGATCTGAAGTCCCTTTAGAAATCATTGAATCTCTATGTCCTCCTGGGGCTCACCATTTACTTATTTGTAATGTAAGGAGGCTGGGCTAATTCCTATGGTTACAGAAAAATAACATCTTGCAGGGAAAAGAGCATAGGATTTGGAGTCAGGCCTGCATAAAGCCCGCACATTTATACAGAATGGGTGATCAGAAACAAGTTACCCAAACAATTTGAGCTTTGCTGGCCTTATTTCTTTAATATGCGTAAGAGTAAAAGTCATCAAAGAAAAGATTTTATAGAAAGCACCTGGCAAAGGTCTTGACATTTGCTAGGCACTCATAATTATGAACTCTCTTGCTTCCATCAAAATTCTAACATCTATTTCCCCAAACCATGCATTTGGTGTTGGCTTACTTCAAACCATCAGGTGGACTTTTAGGAAATACCCTTTAAACTTCAATTATATGATTCTTTATTTAACTCCTTAGTTTCCTACTAGGGATCGGAGCTGGTGTGTTACTGTCCTTTGGAGGCCACAGCTCCACCTGTCAGCCTCCCACCCAGCTACCTTCCAGTCCCAGCCCCTGCTATTCTGGTGTATCCTTCAAACAACTCTGACCTGTCAGTGCGGCCCACTGACAACTCCACCCTGGGCATGATGCTTTGCTGTTTTAAGTCTCATGTTCCAGATCTGTGAAATCTGTGCTTGGTGTGGCCATGCGATAGAGGAAGCATGGGCTCTGGACCAGGAGGACCCGACTCTGAACCTGAGTTCTGCCATGAACAAGATGTTGGGCACTTAAGCTCTTTGGATCTCAGTCTTTAGCTATAAAAATGGTACTTGGACCAGAAAATCATAACCAACTGTCTTTAAGTCTTAAAATCCATGCCAAACACTGAGCTGAGTACATATTGATATCTCATTTCAGAACCTGTGAAGAAGAGACTGTGATTCTAGCATACAGATGAGGAAATTGGGCACAGAGAGGTTAGGTAACTGAGGTCATGTAGCTACTGAGTGGCTAGGATTTGTACCTGAGAACTTAAACTCTTGCCTTCCTTATTATCAGCCATTGCATTATTTCCTAGAATTATGAGAGTGTTCCCAGATTTAAAATATTATGATCATATGAGATTTGTTTCTTCCAACTAATACATGATAGGCAAGATGTGTATCATTTACCACTAGCATAGAGATCAAGAAATTGAGGCTTCAGTGAGAAAATTGAGGCTAAAAATGACATGAACTATAAAGAATAGATGGTGCTTATTTTCATGGAGTTTATAATCAAGAGATTGCACAAGAACGACAAACTTGTAATCAATATCGTGGGTGTCTTTAACAAGGTTCTTTAACGAAGTTATTTTATGAACTTCTTTGCATCTGTCTATGTAAAATCGAACATAGTTCAGCTGTTAAATTTCAGAAGCTCACGTAGACTACTCCACTTTTATGCACTTTTCCAGGTGTGTTTGTAATTTCAGAGATAATAGGGACTCTCAACTGGCTGCATTCTGTGTTCTAATAGAGTGACTGAAACAACAAGCTTACTGCCAAGGAATGATGTAGGTGGTGGGTTGATCAGAAGCATTAAGCATGTGGCTAATAAATGTGCTACCTATCTAATCTTTGCACTTTTTTTTTTCAACTGTAGAATAAAGAACTAAAAACCAAGGTGGCGCTTCGGTCTGAAACACCTAGGACAACAGCATCTAAGGCTGTCTCTACAAGGTAAGGTTTTCCTTCCCTCACCGCCATCTGCCTTCACAGCTTCTGTTGGACATTCATTCATGAATGTTGACATTTATCCCACTTGAGAAATATTCCAATCTATTAATACTTATGTAGTAATTATTGGTTTACTGTCTGTTTCCCAGTTCTTGAGAAGAAGACCTGTGTTACTTGTTCATCATTGAATCCTCAAAGCCTAACATAGAAATACTTACTGAATAAATGAGTGAATAAATTTAGATATCTTTTCTTGCTTTGTGCCATAAAATAAGTCTAGTCTTGGCTTCAACACTTTCTCCAAGCAGCACACATCATTTCTTCTCTGTTGTCCTTGTTTCTCTGTTTACTCCTGTGTTCTGTAGCATTGATGAGCATATTAATTATAAATTGTTTGTATTTATTTAAATGTCCACGTCTGTATCTCAAACCAGGTAGATTGTCAATGTCAAGAAGGCAGGAATAGTTCCTTGTATTTCACTTTATTTCCTAAATTGCTAAGGGCAAGTGTCTTCAGTAACTACCTAATAATGACTGAATCAAGCAATGATAATGGCCCATGACAGCAATCAAAATGATGGTTGAAACCATCAAAATCACTTTCTAATGGTGACAGAATCTGAAATGCCAGGTTGTAAAAAAAAAAAAAAACTTCTGGGCTCAAATCTTATTTCCATAATACTCTGTGAAATTATCACTTAAAAGAAAACATAGTCTGTAATTACATGAATCATTTAAAAAGTGATTAAAAACTTCCTGTTCTAGCAGCTTTTGAATTTCCCAGTCTAGTCCCTCTAGGGCAAAAGCCTGTTTTCTGAAACTCACCTGGGTGCAGTGCCTGAGGTAGAAAATCAGGTCTGCTGTGATCAGCCTCAGTCCAGGAAATCAGGTAGATCTATCTTCCTGTTCAGAATTCCCTGCAGCCTTGCTTCACTTTGCTAAGGATGCATGTAATTAGAGACGAGATGAAGCCATTCTGAATCGAGGCTTCTAGAATCCTTGGGCTCCCAGAGGCTAAGTTATCAACTTTTTGGCCACTGGCCCTGCAACTTCCAATAAAGAAAAGAAACTAAGCCCCAGAAAGAGTAAAGGAGGAAGTGAATACCCACGATTCAGAAGCAGTGAGAGAAGAAGTCACTTGAGTGGGGGAAGAAATGAAGAGTCCAGAATAGAAGGGCAAGCATGACTTCCCAAGGGAAAGGAAGGGGATTGCTTTGTTGTTCCCTTACCAGATACCAGTCCCCTTGGGGTGGTAGGGCATGGTGGCCCTCCTCAGCTGTTTTGATCCTGTAGGGAGTGCAGCCAGAGTGGAGTAGAGGAGAGAGAGTCAGGTTGTCTCTAGATTGTAACTACTTCAGTATGGAATGTGGAAACTCTAGCCCATGCAGAGGGAAGGTGCTGGAGAGAAGGACTTCTACCGCCAATTCTTTAGCTGTAGTAAATTAATTGTTCAGGTCTTTTAGTTTTAAAGATATTTTTTTCTTCCTATCTCATCTTTGTAAGATAAAATATGGCCAATTGGCTGCTTTGAGGATGTAAGCAGTAGTATGGTTTGGGAAGTCTTGGGTTCGCCCATAGGCAATGGAATTATAACTCAAGGGAGAGACTGGAGTAGAAAAGTAGCTGGTAAGGGGGAAAATAATCATGTACACTTAAAGATTAATCCAGGCAAATCTCTTTAATCACCTATAAAATATAGCTCTATATCTCTCAGTAAGTACTACAAAGCAAGGTGTTTCCCTTGAGCATTAGAACAGAGAGATATTTCTTGAACACCGGAAGAAGTGTTTGCTGGAGATTCGGGGTCATGTTCTTAGACAACAACAACAGAACACACATAGAAGCCTGTGTGTGTGCGTGTGTGTGTGTGTGTGTACACTCACATATACATACATGTATATTTTAAATACTAGAATCACACACATTGAGGAGAGAGGTTCAGACAGAACTACAGTGTCCTGGCAGAAAGGTTGATTTGCTTCCTGTCTCCAAGTCACTCCAGTGCATGTCTTCACTCTGTGGAATGGCAGACACAGGCTCGCTCTCTCTCTCCCCTCCCCTCACTCTTCCTCACTCTTGTCCTACTACAACTAGCTGAATTGACATAAGGTTGATGCTTCCACATGTGATTCTAGTATGTCTCATGGGGAATTAGAGTCAGCCAATTAACCACCATATCTCTTAGGTTAAAGCAATTAGTGCAAACTGGGTAGTAGAACGGTGGTGGAGATGGTAATCATGGCGATATAGCACTTATATCACGAAAACTTAATGTGCTCGATTTCAATAATTGTATGGTCTTTTCTACAGTGAATTGAAGACTGTCAACACTACGCCCTATTTGATGTTGATTAGGCTCCGGAAATGAGCTGACTGGCTGAATATCTGAATGAGAAAGATTGCTACGTGGGTCTTATTTATTCCTCAAAACACAGCCTAAACTTGCATGCTGAAATGGCTCAATGCCAGCATTCAATGGAATGTACTATACATCAACAGCTTTGCAGGAAGATGACATTCCAGAAAATCAAACAAAATATATATTCAGGGGAAGGAACTCTTTCTTCAAAACTTACGAAACGGGTGAAGAGACCAGGGGCTTTCGATGGAAAATGAATTTTGCTTTAAACTTAAAAAAAAAGATCTGAATCTTTCTTGCAGATTTTTGCTGAAGGGAGTGGTTTAAGGTTGTTGACAGTGACTTTTTTGATAGTGGTTTTTGTGTATATAAATGGAAGAGTGTATGTGTGTATGTGTAAATGATATATTTTAAAGTTCACTTTGGATAATAAAAAAAATATCTTAACATGAATTTATAAATTCACCTCCTGACCCAGTGTTCATGGGAGAGTTACTGTATTATGGGCAGGAGAAGGAGTAGGTTCTGTTTAGCTAATTCCCACATAACCCACATAACCCTCCAAAGTTGAGAATCATGGCGTCTCACCACACCTGAGGAAGCCGTTATTCTTCAGTTGGGATTGAAAATTGGTTGCTAGAGACAACCCACAAATAAGCACAAAGAAATGGAGCTTGTGGCTCTCTCTGGCTTCGTGACTAATATTCTTTTCAAGATTCATTATTATCTGCGACGATCTTTGGAGGGAAGAATAGAAACACAATGCTGTCAGCTCATACCTCCATAAACATGCTGTCTGCAGCCAGGAAGACTCTGAATTCATGAATTGGAATTAAATGTCCAGTGCTTTGGTGAGAGCGTATTTACATTTTGATATGGGCATTCATCACAGGTGGAGTCTGGGATTGCTGTGAGGAAAACCAGACTCTGATTTGCAGAAATACAAACATGTTGACCCTCCAGAAGAGAACACACTTCAACTAAAGGAATAATGGGCAGCCTTAGCCCCACTGAAGGCTGAATTGCTTGTAAGCCTTCTGATGGTCCTCTCGGGTGTAGGACTGTAAACATTTTCTCAGGAAAGATGCTGGAAGTCTTTCAATGTGGAATGTGAAATAGCAGTGTTATCTATGAAATATTTAAAAATACATACAAATGAGATAAAGTAATGTATTTATAAATTCATCAAAGTACTGTAATCCTTGGGGCACCTGGGTGGCTCAGTCAGTTAAGCATCTGCTTTTGGCTCGGGTCATGATCTCAGGGTCCTGGGATCAAGTCCTGCATCGGGCTCCCTGCTGAGCAGGGAGCCCGCTTCTTCCTCTGTCCTCTGCCTCCTCCCCACTGCTCATACTCTGTCTCTCCCTCTCTCTCAAATAAATAAAATATTTTTTAAAGTACTGTAATCCTTTAAACGTTGCATAATTGTATGTGTGCATTTCATGCTTCACGTTTTTATTGCTTGCTAGTTTTTCAGCTGTAGTTATCGAATAACATTTATGGCACAGTTCCTATACCAGGAACAATTCTAAGTACTTTACCTGTATTAATTACTTTAATCTTCCCAATAGGCCTCAAAAGCAGGTCATATTATTACTCCATCTTCTAGGGGTGGGTACTGTGAGGTCCAGGACTTTTCCCTGCTGCTAATGATGGAGCAAGGATTGGGACCTCTGACTTGGCTAATAATAGTCCTTCTATCTGCTCACTTGGTGGCCTGAGATATTTCCACAATTTAGAAATACCTCTTTTTGCTCCTTTAAAAACACAGCTTCCTTGTTGGCTATGTGCATTATCCCACGAATGACGCTCAGAAATAACCCTGACTCATAAAGTAAATATTTTGCTATAATTAAGTTGGCCTTTCACCTGTTGGATTACCCTCATGCAAACTTAATTCAGAAAAACTTCCCTGCTAAAAATCTTCTAATTCTACATTTATTACCATGACCTTATGCCGCATGGAAGAGTTTTTGGTAGTATATTTTTAGGCACATTTGTAGGAGATTGGGATCATGAACTCTGTCAAGTATTTGCAGTGTGGTAGGCGAATTTGCCTTTCACCTGGAGACTACTTAGGTTTCGTTTTACACCCCAATCACCATGCAGGATGGTAATGTGAGAGTTTGGAATGGATCCATCTAACTGAGCTAACAACTAGAATGATTCCCATTAGAATAATGTACTCTAGAGTAAAAAAGGGGAAGACACTGTTGGATTTAATTTAGGTTTAACTCTGCTCATTTCTGAACATGGAAGTCTACTGGACGTGATACAGCTAGGACCTGGTCATGTGCTCTCCACGTTCACCCTGGAATGGCCTTTGGATTTCTTGAGAATAAGAACAAGCAGTTTCAGAAGCTTAAAAAGGTTTGGACTCTTCAAATACGAAAGTGTGTTTTTAGTAGCATCAGCAATATCATTTATTTGTCAGATGTGGATTATGTCCTATATCTTTATTTCAGCTTTTATGATTTGGAATGTTTTTTGAATAAATATTTCTGAGCGATGAAACAAATGATCATAGTGAAGAATAAAAAGCATTAACCTAAAAGTAGTACCACAAGAGAAATACAGGAAAAGAAAAACCAGTTTAGTTGTAGTCTAAATAATTGTCCTTATAATTATACTAATCAATATATCAGATAAGAAGGTCTGAGGTGGATCTTGAAGTGAATACAGGAAGGTGGAAAATAAAAAGAAACTTTGTTTCACTTTGATTACATATTGTTACAAATTATCATTAAGAAACGTTTAAGCAACAACAAAATGTCTAAACAATTGGTATAATACATATATCTTTTGAATAATTGCTTATGGTATGCCTTACAATAAAATTTGTATCATATTTTGTTTATTTTTTGTTCTCATTTCTTTTTACATGAAAATTATTACACATAAGTGAATTAAGTCATTTTTATTTGATTGTTTATGACAATATAACCCATAGTAAATGGATTGTTTTTGCCAGTGAACAGATATTTAGATAGCTCCCTGAGTTTTTCTGTTAATTTTCCCTGGATCCAAATTAATGGAAAAAGTAATCTATTAAGTTTTTATCCTGAATTTGAAAAAATAATAGCATTATTATAAAATTAAGAACAAACACACTTCTCAAACATTTTATTTCTTTATTTTGAAAATATTTACCTCTCCTCTGAGCTGGGAATAATTAGAGAATCCTATCAATATTGAAGTAGGGACCCAATCGATCAGGAGCTGAAAATTCCTCACTAATGTTAGCATTATCACTCCCGCCCCCCACTTCCTCCCTTCTGTACTTCCTTCTTTCTTTTATTTTTTTAGTGGGAAATATTCAAGATGCAATAAAGATTTAAATAATCATATTTAATCACTTTATTATTAAAGTATATACTTATAAGTGTTAAAAATTGAACTAGAATTACAGAAAGTTGGGATTTATCCTAACCATGCAAGGTTGTTTTATCGTTTGAAAATCAATGTAATTAACCATATATACATAATAAAGAAAAACCATATAATTGTTTTAGTAAGTGAAGGAAAGTATTTGATAAAATTCAGCACTCATTCATAATAAAAACTCAGCTAAAATAAAAAGACTGGCCTTACTATGTGGAACAACCAAATCATATGCTAAAGGTGAGAATACAAATACGGTAGAAGCACTTCGGGAAACAGGTTGTTTCTTTAAAAGTTAAATATACACCTGCCATATGACCTAGCCACTCCATTCTTCAGTTTGTTGTTGCTGTTGTTTTGTTTTTTTACCAAGAGAAACAACAGCTTCTGTCCGCATAATAATGTGTATCTGAATTTTCATGGCAATTTTGTTTGTAATAGCCAAAAACTGAAAACAAAACAGATGTCCATTAACAGGTGAACAGGTAAACAAAATGCGGTACATCCATATTTTAGAATATAAAAACAAAAAGCACAAACAAATATATACAACAATGGATAATCATTATCCGTAGTGAAAGAATCTAGAGGAAAAAGGACATAATGTGTGATTCCAGAGGGTCAGAGAGCAAATCAGTATTTGCCTGGGGACACGAGAGAAGAGTGCAGGGGAGTACAGAGAAACATAGGGAGGGAGTAGAAATGTCCGGTGTGTTGATATTGGTGATGTCATGGATGTATTCCATGACAAAATCAATACCTTGTACAATTTAAATATTTACCTCAATAAAATAGTAAAAAAAATTTTTAAGTTGACACTATGTTATTCTATAGTCACCCAATCAGGTTCTCACATAAGATTCATTCATTTTTTTTCTTTCAACAAATATTTTATTGAGTGCCCTCTATTTGCCAGGCACTGTTCTAAATGCCAGGGGTATGACAGTGGAGAAAGAAAAGGGCATAAGTGTGTCAGGGAAGAACGAAAAAGGAAAAATCTCTACCTTCACGTAAATATATTCTAGGGACAAAAAACAGATAATAAGTCAGAGACGTCCCATGGACTGTGAAGAAAAAGCCAAACACAGGGGTCAGGAGTTACCAGGGGGAAGGGTTGTGGTTGCAATTTTAAACTGGGTGATAATTTTAAACGTGGTAACTATGGCTTGGTAATTTAAAGAGGATAGTCACTTTATTTTTTTTAAGATTTTATTTATTTATTTGTCAGAGAGAGAGCACAAGCGGGGGGGCAGCAGGCAGAGGGAGAAGCAGACTCCCCGCTGAGCAGGGAGCCCGATGTGGGACTCGATCCCAGGACCCCGGGATCATGACCTGAGCCGAAGGCAGGCGCTTAACCGACTGAGCCACCCAGGCGTCCCAGGATAGTTATTTTAAATAAGGCCTCTCTCTTTCGAGGTAACATTTAAGCACAAACAGAAAGAAGGCTAAGAAAGTGACCAAACGAAGGTGTTGTTATTTGGTGGAGGAGGGGCCCAGGAAGAGGCGGGCACAGGTGCGGAGGCTCCAGAGGACAGGCAGACCAGGTGTGTCCCCGAAGAGCCGGGACATCAGTGCAGCTGGACTGGCAGGTGAAGAATAAGTCCTAATATTGTCTAAATCATTTTCCATGCAACATATTCTTTCACGTTTCCTTTGTATAAATCATTCCTTTTATTTGAATAATAAATTATCCTTCCAGTTCTTTGAATTCTGAGCAGCGGTAAGCTAATGAGTTTTAGGAATCTGTATCTCGGTTCCTGTTTGTCTATGGTTTCCTAACATACTGACAAAGCCCATGTTTTCTGGAAGGTACAGTGAAGGGAAAACTCTTAAAAGGTTCAGCCGAGTGGTCTTATTTTGACTTTATCCTCTTTTTTTTTTTTTAAAGATTTTTTTATTTTTATTTATTTGACAGACACAGCGAGAGAGAGGGAATGCAAGCAGGGGGAGTGGGAGAGGGAGAAGCAGGCTTCCCGCTGAGCGGGGAGCCCGATGCGGGGCTCGATCCCAGGACCCTGGGACCATGACCCTAGCCGAAGGCAGACGCTTAACGACTGAGCCACCCAGGCGCCCCTTGACTTTACACTCCCTGCCTAGAGGACTCATGAGGAACTGCTCTTGGAAGTCAAGTGAGGAGAGGGTCCAGGAAGTTAGGTAATGTGTATTCATAATCCAATAATTAGCATGATTCCAAATCCTCCTTCTGCTTCATTTTTTTTTCATCAGTGAATGAGTCATGATATAAATTTCTCTGGAGACTCAAGCAAACAGATTGAAGTTGTCTGCTATCAACCTCACTGCTGCTTTTTTTTTTTTTTTTTTAATATTTTTGGTAAGGAAGAGTCATTTTCTCAGAGACCTACAAAAATGATTTAAAGCTTTGATAATTTCAACAATCTGATTATTATCACAAAATATTTCTAATACCTATACTATCACCTTAGTCAAATTATAATTTGTGTGTTGGCTTCGTAAAGCATAACGTAAGTCCCCTAAATGAGTTTCTAACAGAAGAGCAATGCTCACGGTCTTAGAATTTTATTTATTTTTTAAAAAGATTTATTTATCTGATAGCGAGAGATAGCATGAGCAGGGGAAGTGGCAGAGGGAAAGGGGAAGCAGACTCCCCACTGACCACGGAACCTGATGTGGGGCTCCATCCCAGGACGCTGGTCATGACCAGAGCCAAAACCAAGTGTGGGACATTTAACCAAGTGAGCCACCCAGGCGCCCCTAGAATTAGAATTTTATATTAGAAATGAAATTGTTCT